AAACTATTTCAAACTTAAAGTAAAGATCTACTTGGCCGATTGAACTGAAACTTTGTAGGAATGATCGAATCATGGTCCTGACAAAGTGTTGTTATTTTTCGGGTCAATCAGAAATACAATTTGGCTGCCATGGCCGCTATTTTGCTACTAAGTTCTAATAGGCCGATCTCACTTAAAATTGGTCTAGGAATGATCAGCTCATGGTCCTGACAAAGTTAAGTTAACATTATACTATTTTTTACTCAAATTGGTACATATTTCAACAACAAAAATAAATACTATAGACTCAGGTGACCGTTAAGGCCCATGGGCCTCTTGTTATATTAGCCCTCATATTTTGATTAAAGCGTCTGACCGTCTACGACCACTAGCCCACTGCCACATGGTTGTAGGTTCGAAGCCGACGCGGGGCAGTCTTCACTATTCCGTAGGTCCATTATTTTTCTCCGGGTACTCCGGTTTTCCTCCACTACCAAAACTTGGCACCTCCATATATTTGCCATAGCTATTAATAGGACATAAAACACATTTCATACTTCAGTTGTCAATGGGGAAAGTTATGTACTGCACTTGTTCTTATAGAAAAAAAGAACATAACGGATCATATTTCGAACAAAAAAAATGAAACATTACCGATATTAATATTGATCCCTCGGTATATGAATCGAAGTAACGGTATTGATAGGATATCCTGATATATCTGTCATGGTTTATTTTTCATTGTAATTTGTATAAAATGCCATGCTGTTCTTATAGCTGTTTATGTATTTTTGTAGATTTCAATCAACTGCCTACTGGTCCTAGCGACAAAACTCTTCTGCATTCACATTCAGCGGAGCAAGAAATTCCTATATCGCCCCATCTTTCTGTTACAAGTTTGATTTTGGATATGCAACAAGACATGACCAAAACTGTACCGCGACCTTATTCAGTGGAAAGCATTTGTTCTGATGCGGAAATGCCCTCGTCAAAGAAAATCCTGGTTACATCTAACGACGACACTACAGAATGTACAGGTGGTGATATCCAACACAACGGAGGAAGCAAAAGTGACACGGTTGCTATTTTGGAATCCCAGATGCCATTGGAAACAGTTGGAAATTCGAATGAAGATTCACCGCCTGCCGGCAATCCAAATGCTGTATATGCTATCTCGATACCATTCGACGATATGGAAACGGCTTCATCATCCCAGGTAATTGTTCAACAATTGAATTAGGTATAAATGTTGCATGTTAAGAAAATATTTGCCTTTAATTATTCTCTTGATTATGAATGGACTCGATATCACAGTGTCTGTTACAATAACGACTGTTACATGAAATGAATAAAAACATTTACGTATCAGTCTTTAGGTGTAAATATAATAATGCGATTGTACGATTTCGCTACAATAAACTGAAACATTATGTGAACAAAATATTTACTTCCTTAACCACCTTTGGATACATTCGATCATCACATACCAATGAACATTGACATAAGTTTGATATTTTTTTCATAAGTTTAATACTTTTACATAAGTTTAATACTTTTTGCCATTGTCAGATTAACCATAGTTGATGGAACAATGGCTCCCGCATCAGATATATTACATACGTTGGTTAAGACTGAAGTGTTAGTGATACACGAAAATACACATATCCTTGTCAAGAAGTCGCCACGCAGGATATTAATCATACTGTTTGCCATTGTCAGTTTTACCACGTTTAACGGAACTTTTTTAAATCGAATCAGTAAGATTGTTAATGGCCCTGTCATCAGACATAATTTATTCGTTATTGACGACTGTAGTGTACAGATAGATGTCACCATATCTAAACTTCTGCATTGTAGGCGTCTATTAGAAATTCAACTGATCCTCGTCCAGAAGTTACCACGAGGGATATCAATTGCAATGGTGAAAGGTATGCTAACATGACATTGCATTGTAAATTATGTATCCATGTGAATCTTCCCTTTGTGCAGTATTTTCTCGTTTTTCTGTTAATATCAATCTGTACAATTACCTTCTGGTTACAGATATCGTATTGTGAAGTAAAACCAGTGTGCAAGTTATTTAATTTTCACTTTTAAAACAAAAATACAACCAATTTCAAACTCATTTACTTTTGATATGTCTTACTGATATTTTTAAGCAGTCTACCGGACTGGAATGCTTACTCAGAGGTTGCAATGACAATATCATGAGTTAATAGAAAGGTGGAAGTTAATGAAGTATACTAATACTACAATTGGTGCAAAAGAAAACAGAAATTATACATTTCATCAGTGATGGTATCCAACTGATATTTTCTATTTGTTGCTTCAAAATTATTTCTTCACTTTGAATTATTTAGACATATCTATTTGTCTATTGTGTGATAACATCCAACATTATAAATAATCTGCTAAATTAATATCTGTAGAGGCAACGCAGATGGAAAAAAGGATAAAGAACTGAAAGCACCATATAAGAAGAGTGGGGCATTCACTTTCTATAGCAGCGTATCTAAAACTAGCAAAACAGTCAAACGTGCTATTGTTAACATGCTGACATTTAAAGACAAAATTTACTTTAGGATGGAAGATATGAAATTTATCGAGGAAGTGTCTGCAAACGGGAAGGTCGAGAGTCTGATAACATTTGAAAATGTTGTAAAGGACAGGGTTGTGTTACATGTGGCAATATCGCAAACAAATGGTGCAGTTTGGTTTTGTTGTGACGATAACAGTGTAAACAAATATTTAGCCGGAAAATGTACGGAGAAATTCCGTACAAAATATCCTCCGAAGCATCTTTACATATATTCTTCAAATTTAAAAGAGGAGGCATACGTCTCTCATGAAACGGGACTAGAAATATGGGACGAAGACAGAGTTAAATGCATACATCTGTATATAGATTCCACTGATTCCAACGGCGAAAAGGAATTATTTTATCCATCGACAATCGACAAGGACGCTGTTTCTGGAAGAGTTTTGGTCACCTCTCTACAGGTATATGCACCTATGCTGTTAGATGGGTCGCTTCAGAAAACTACTTTTATCGAAACGCTTCCTGAAGTATGTCCTAGATTTCGGATCTTTACCGGTTGTTTTAATCACAAAGGAAATATCATTCTGGGAACATCTTCTGGTGTATATGTGTTGTCCGGGGTTAATTTTGAAGTGCTAACAATCCTGAACAAACACTATCCCACGTTTAACATGCTGTGTTTTCCAAATAACGACTTATGGATTGTATATTTACGAGATATATGTAAATATTCATACACAGATGAATAAATACACATGTAACTAAAATTTGTGTTATTACTGATGCTGTGCCAGTACAAGTAAAACAATACAAATTAATAGCAGAACCAGTAGTAAAAGTTTGCCAATAGCAATATAGTTACGTGAAAGAGCAAGAGGCAAATGGCCACGCACCTCCCAGGACAATGTTAAATAGGACATTTTCATAAATGCGTTATCTTTAATGTGTCGGTCAATTGTGGCATCGACATACATGTTTGAGTCAATGCATACATGGCTGTCAATGACATATATATATATGACTCAAACATGCATGTCGATATATATATATATGTCATTGACAGCCATGTATGCATAAACAGCCATGTAGGTGATCCACAGTTATGCGTAATTGAGTCATGTTTGCCATTGATAGCAACATGTGCCATTGACAGCCATGTATGTAATCGACATCCATGTGTGGTTGACAACTATGTTTGCCATTGGCAACAATGTGTGCCATTGACAGCCATGTGTCATTGACAACTATGCTTGCCGTCGACAGTCATGTGTGCCATTGACAGCCACGTGTGCCACTGACAGCCATGTATGACATTGACAACCATGTTTGCTATTGACAGCCATGTATGCAATCGACAGTCATGTGTCATTGACAGCCATGTATGCCATTGACAGCCATGTGTCATTGACAGCCATATGTGTCATTTGCAGCCATGTGTCATTGACATCCATGTGCCGTTGACAACCATGTGTGCCATTGTCAGTCATGTGTCATTGACAACCATGTGTCATTGTCAGCCATGTGTCACTGACCGCCATATGTGCCATTAAAGGCCCATTCCAATATGATCAAGTCAAGATTTGAATGCTCATAGTTCAATGATTGTACTCTGACTAAAAAAAAATGAAATGTGTTACTGCCCAAATATGTACATTTATAGTATACTATACTACAAAGAACTAAAAGGCAAAACAAAAGATACAAACTATATGTATTACTGAATGTATATTGATATATAGTAGTTGTTGTTGAGAAGAATAAAATGTGAAATACAGACTTTTATGCATACTTTTTTCATACACACACATTAACTGGGCAAATTTAGATCTAATTTTTCCCATAATGATGACATTTGATATACAAAGTAGACTTATATGACATGCATCATGGCGATGTAAAATAATACGAAACGAAAACATTGAACCATACATTTGAACGAAAAATTGTTTCCACAAGCTTTTGGTATAAAGCAGTTATACATATAATACACACTACCTGTTTCCCCTATGGTGCCAGCCCCTCCGGCCCCAACATATCTGCACTATAGACCCTCACTTTTCCAAAATGCCAGGGTATCGCTTTCCACATTTAACAGGATACTAAACAAACTCAGGTTGTCAAATACAGGTCATCAATCATTGCTGATAACACTGCCCAAAATTAAATGCTGGATCATTGTTTTAAGGACATTTACAACTTGTTGTGATGTTACGAGGTTTGATCTACTGACCAAAATTTGCACAAAAATAAGAATTTGCATTTTTATATTTTTATTAGGAAAAAACTCTATTGTACTACTTTTACAATACTCTTACTTAAAGAGCAACTGCATGTTATAATTGTAGGGTATTCTGTATAACTATTGCATATTGTGAAAATCTTTTAATAAAATGTAATTTCTAAAACAAAAATCAGTTTTTGTCCATCTCCTGAAAAGTTATGAAGGTTTCGACTCTGGGATGACGTGCATGTCGAGACATATGCGCACATGGTCAATGATACAATAAAACGCCAACTTGCAGGATCCCGTGTTCACTATAAGGGACTAACACCGGATATAGTTGGTACCGAATCGAGCAGAACGCCAGGCGACATGTAGAGCACGATAAGTTTTTCCTGTATTTGAGACATTTTCTGGTATTGTACAGACCTGTTGAGTAACACGACAGTCGAACATAGAACAAACAGTTATGTAATGCATAGATTATGTGAATTTTGTCACGCGATTTTGAAATATTGATTAAAGCAGACCATGCAGTACCGGTATTGTATGACATGTTATGGGAAAAAAGATCAGAAGTTATTAAAACATGGAACTTACGATGCTAAATAGAAGGTAGGATGCATATGTTGATTGGACTTGGATAAATCGATAAAAAATATTTTGTACATGTGCTTATATTCTGTATTTAACTGAAAACTGATTTCACCTCTGTACGGCGAATATATGTTGATGCATCTATAGCCAAGTGCGATCTGATATGAAAGAAAGTATCTAAGGTTCATATTACCCGTCAATGAAAGGACATTTATAAGTTCAATGTAGAGAAATACGTGATGTGAAATTTCAATGACAGTTGTCGGCGAACAGATGACCTATTGTCTAGTGCTTGGTTGCCGTTACACGTTGAATGTCAACTGCAGGTTAATAAATAACTAAACAATCTTATGGTGTTTTTTGAAAGAAACACGAAATATAATTAATGATCGTTTATAAATACAGGGCTCACCCTGGACCTAAAAAATCAGTAGCCAAAAAAGTAGCCATGTTTGAATTTCAGTAGCTAATTTTTTTTAAACAGTGGCCATACTTTCTCGGTCTCCAACCGTTACGGATAGGCCCTCCATCAAAATCATTAAATATTTAATATTTTTGAAGTGCAATACTATTCAATATGATGTTAAATTAAGGAGTACTCTGTTAAATTAAAAAAAAAATGTAGACATGATGTTTATAATTCAATCCATAATGTGATATTTTTAATCCGTTCAAATAAGATATTATTCGCCTTTAATTCCGTGCCTTCAATCAAAAAATAAAACTAATAAAATCCAAATCAAAAGTAGCCTCAGTGATGCAATATTGATAATTATTTTTCCTTTGTTTACATTCACCGTAATTCATGTTTTAAGTAAAAGAAACTATAAATAGATTTAAAAAGATCATACATTTCAAATGTAGGTTATATGGCAGTAAAACACATTCGAAAGGAAAAGGACGAATTTATAACGGTATTGACCAACCCTTCGAAATAAATCGGGAGCATATCACGTCGCGCAACTTGGCCATTCCCGTGCACGTGTCGTCGATTGGCACCTAATACAAGCGACCGTCGAAGTAATTCTGAACGGTTTGCTGTTCTAAAAACTGCATAACTGCGATGCTAAATAACTTTTCTCGATCACTTGAAATTCTAAAACGTCTAACGACGAAAGTACACAGTCAGATACGATATAGGGCCTATCGTTTTAAGTTATCTGTAAGGCCGAAAATCGGCACTTCGACATGGTGTTTCAAGGCGATACTTATACTTTCTAATCAAGCATATCATATAAGTTAAAACACAGCTGAATTTTCACGTTTTCTTCTAGATACCGAGAATCGATGATTGATTTTAGTTTCGTTTTCCACTAGATCCTTTTATATTGAAATTTGATAGGCCTAAATTAAATAAGAAAATAAGTTTTTAATTTGATGAAATTGAGATAAGAAACTAATATTTATCAAAATCCATCCGAAATACCTTACCAAATATGAATAGCACACATATGTGTATGCTTCAGAGGGAACTACACGTACGGCGAAGGGTACTTTTTTAAAATATAAAAGTAATCAAATATCGCCGATTTTAATGATATTTTGTGTGTTGAAAAGAAATATCTAGAGTTTCCTCACGTAATTAACAGGGTTATGATAATGCATATGTTGGAAGAAATTAAAATCTACAACAAAACCAAATTTCTCGCGGCACCGTGTTCCTTTATACACTTACCGAAATTAATGAAATTGTTATGAAAAGGAACTTTAAACCAATATCTTTCAGCGTGCAAAGTTTTGTTAAAATCGGCCCATCAACAAAATAAATCAGGAAAATTCATTGAAAACAAAAGTTTATACTGTAAGATTATATAGTAGAATTAAATTTTACGAACTTACTTTTGGCCAACAACTGTATATATTTTTAGGGTACCATAAGGGTTTATGTTTTAAATAGTATATCTCCTAGGTCGTCAGTTTACATAAAGAAACCGAAAATGATACAATTGCTAATAAAATTAATTATTAAATAATTTAATTATATCCTCTATTCTACTAGCTATTTCTTTATTATGATTTCAATATTTTTGCACGCGTCCATCGGCGGCCTAAAACCCTCTGATACCTCACTGTTGTCGCTGTATGGGACACGCATAATACATGTCCACCTCCGATTACGACCTACATTACATTTTGAACCTATTTCAGCGAACAGTCATCTGCGATAAAGCACCCCTCCCGTCCTACTCCCCCTCCCGTCCTACTCCCCGTCCTACTCCCCCTCCCGTCCTACTCCCCCTCCTTCGACACACACGCACAGGTCTATTCTCGCACAGCGAATTTTGTCATAACCCGCTTCTCGACACGTGCCGTCCCGGTATGTGATAACAATCTGCAGTTATTTGTCAGGTCCCGAATGGTGTTTAGCTTACAATCAATACGAGTAATAGTATAAAATAAAACCATATGGAGATTATGGAGAAATGTCTGCCGATTCCATCCGTAAAAAGAATTTGTAGAAATGTTCGATGACAGCCGAACTACGACTCATAAACATCTGCTGCATTTACTTTATATTGTAAACAGATAAAAAAGACCTATTCGAATGGACCCCAAAAACCCGAACCGATCTCATTTCTGAAACCAACCTGCTATAGCTTAAACTTTAATACACCTATAAAATTACATTTGCCACGTGCTGTGTATACTGGTTGCTGAACAACACACGTTACATTAGCAGACGAATTTTACCTCGGCGACCCACTTTCTCGCAGTGGCTATAAATGTGTGTGTATATAATACACATGTAACTTTACGTACAAACATGGTAAATTTTCAAGCAAATTGTGCTAATTACTCACTAATTAATTCAATTTATTTCCCCAAAAACGAAGTGTGCCATGTCTGATACAATATCAACACTCTGGCATTACTAAAATATCCCAATCCATCATGGAAAAGCTCCAATCGTGTCCACAAGGCGAAATTTCACCAAATATTCAGACGATCCCTATACCTCACACGACGTATGTAAAAATGATATTTTAACGAATGTTAGAGCAAAAAAAGAAAATACACACTAAATCTTCTAATAAAAGTAACTACCTGCCAGATGCCAACTAAGGGAACGGATCCTGCATACTTCAATTTATTCTGAGATGATTTTGTAAATGTCATTATTTTAACGTTCCGAATATTTGTTCCCGCTCAGTATCCTCACATGTTGAACTATTGCCACTCAATAATTATCCCCAGGCACGAAAATACACATTTTTAACTGCATGTTTCATTGTGTTTTAATATTGCATTTTAATGCACATTTGTTCATGTTTGTCCTGTTAGCCTATTCTCTTGTATATGCTTTATTCTAAAGATACAGTGTATATCCATACGAGTGATATATATATATTAAACGGGAAAACCATTAAATTTTCTCTTTGTCACATTTTATAAAAGTAATGCGTCACAAATATTGCTACATCAGAAAAATGCGGGAAATCTTAGCGTTATATTTGACGTCATGTTCCATTGACGTCACGCAGAATGCCATTTTGAACGGGTAACTCAATGGAACTGCCGTTTGCTGCTTTTACAGAAGTTATGTAGTAAAGTCAATACTATAATTTATGTTGCAAAGGCTCATAAATACAAACGTGTATTCTACCGTCGCTTCAACTGAATTGGAAACTGAAAATCTACGTAAAAAATAACCTTCTAAATGCACAATACTAAAAGTGAAATCCTCACATGTGATAAAAAAAAGCATTTCGTATAATCATCACTGCAGTGAAGATAAAGTTTTTATCAAGTGGATAATTCCTGATGTTTCACTTGTTATATTTTATAAATACGGATAACGCACGTGGCCTTAATTTCCCAGAAGACTCTCAGTCATGGGGAGGCACCGGAAGTGGACAAAGTGTTTCCTGATCAAACCCAGCAGCGCTTCGCGCCGGTTAGGGTTTTGAAAAAAATATCACGTTTGAACCGCGATTTCCTGGAACAGTTCAAAGAACGCCTTTTGACATCAAAGGGTTACCATATAACATGTCTTAACAACAGCACGAGAGATATTCACTACAATCACAAAGAAAGAAAGCAATTTAAAAACAAATATACAGATGAAAATGATACGTTTCAGATGAATAACGTTACATCATAAACTATAAAATATACAATAGAACGATTCTACAACAAATGTGAACATAAACATAAACAAAATAAAACAGCAGGCAATATTTCTATGCCGTATTCATGTACTACTGAGACTGAAGAGGGGAACAAATTAAAAAATGTATTAAAATAAAATAGAGCATTAAAGCCATTTTGGTATCTGTGGAGTATAAGATATAGAGCTTATTGAGCTTGGTGATCTGGAGAAAACGTCCCTAAGTCTGGTCAGACTCATAAACGAAAGTGTAAGATATATCTAATTTAAGTGCATATATCTTTGAATTTGATAAAAAGTGCATCTTTAAATGAATTAGTTATCCCTTAATGGGAATAAGATATTTTTTGATGCAACAAGGGCATCTTAAAATCAATTAAATGTATCCCTAAAAGAATAAGCGGTATCTTTAAAGTTAAATGGCAATCTTCTATACAATTCGGATACTACCATATATCCGTGTTATCTATGAGATAACTCCTAAACTAATGGAGGAGTCTCTTTTGGGTATTTAATATCAATTTTACTTGCAATGGACATGTTACACTGTTACAGCGGTTCAGAAATACAGTGTATTTCTTTTAGCCTATCTTTCCCTATCCTACACCCCTGGGCATGAAAGAATCTTATAATATTTCATAAACAAGGTACCGAAATTTAATTAGTTATTAAACCAAGGATGCTTAGGAATTGCAGCTCATGGGAAGGTCCTGCCAATATTGGATATTGAAACATGCTGACACGTACCATAATCAAAAGACTAAAAAATCTAATTGATTCGTTTTCCTTCAGTATATATAACTATACCATTCTATCATAAATTACATTCTATATCTACGTATCATTTATCTGTAGGTGGTACAGAAACGGGAATAGCCTCAGTTTCAATTAAGAACTACGTAAATATTATTTCGAAGATTCCTCAAGACGATGAAGTGTGTTGAGCATGTCACGATAACAGTTGGTAAACTACTTTAAGATATTCAACCCAAAACTACCTCTCAAAATGTCCTTAAAAATTAACACATCATTTAATCCCACATAGCACACGTACACAAATATGTGTCAACATATCGGTAAGAAACACAAAGCGTAACCACAAATACCACAAATATAAAAATAAATACCTGTCCACATATCGGTTAGGAACCCAAACACACAATTGAAACACACATAAACAACCTACCTGTTCGCACATACATGTGTACTCATCAATGCGGAAATAACACGCACGATTGAATGTGTGACTTATCATGTAAGCTTGTGTACACGTCGGAAATCTGTATGTGTACAGGACAGAGTCAAACCTATTCAAAGCACACACACTCCATATCCGCACACACATATCAACCGCGTCTACCACCCCATACATGCCTCAATGCTTTTGGGAAATAGCCAGGTATCGATTCAATAACATGACAAAATAATTGAGTAATTACAAATTTTATTACAAAATAAAACTAACTTTTCTATAAATGTGTTTCTTTTAGTGACATTACACTATAACACTTGTGTCGCTCTTAACATTGTGTATGAGTTTGTTCCTAGTTTGTTATCGCATGTATTCATCAATACGCAAATCTGTTAGAATTCGATAATACGCTGAAATGAGTACTCATACCGTAAAAGAAATGCTGCAATGTAAACATGGAAGGAATGTTCGTGCATTTTCTAAAGTCTATTATGAAATACAACCTTAAACATGATGCGTCATAGTATACACATGATACTATACAACTATCCAGGGCGTGGTCGTACACGGAGTCCAATTAGTTCATTTGCACCCAAATACATTTGTGATATCCTGTCAGATCTCTGGAACAGGGAAGTGTCAATATTAAGAAAGCTACACGATATTATCAGCGGCTCATTTTAATTCCCCGCCATACGTACACATGAGTAAAAAAACACTGTTATAAGTAACGGAAGGAGATTATCATTTTTTCTCTTAAACCCATGAATTTGCATTCCTCCACAATAACTATAAATAGGGTCTAGTATAGGAGTGAGATGCATTAATTATTTCCAGTGATTTCTTTTCTATATAACGATGAACGTAAAACACTCACTTCTGGTAACGTGGTGATATTAGGGGTCAAAAAGGTGGAAATCCAAATGGCGCTATATTGGTCCAAACTAATATTGAAACAGTAGGGGGAGCTGTGTAAAACCATTTCATAATATACATTACAAAAATTGGAGGAGTACTGGTAAAATTTAAATTAATAATTGTGTGTATGTCATGTACCGTGCCACTACTCAAATTACCCATGTGGCTATCAAGGTTGCGGCAATTTTTCGGGACTAATTATACACCAGCAGTCTACATCATTGTATCTTGAAAGATGAACGTAACAATTGATAGTACCATTAATATCTGAATAAATAAATTAAAATTAAACTACACCAAACATTTACAATAATTATGAGACAAGAAGTTAAAATCGAATTAAAATATTAAAGTGGTCATATACCATTATTTCTTTACGCGTTACCCTGCCTTCACAACATAAATAAAGAATAGTATGATTGACGTTCGTTGTTGAAATTACTTCAACCTTATATATATATATATATTTAAACTGATATTCTTTATGACAGTGTATACTAACAATGCTGACATCACGGTTCTCCTCGATATAGAATACGACTAGATTAAATATAGACCCATAACACGAGCATACACCGAGGAATTTGGCACACATACTTAAACTAGTGCGACGGTTAAATACACAGCATTGTGATGAGTGTAGGTTTACACTACTATCCAATACAAAATACGCGTCCTGGCCCAGAGCGTACACTTACAGTAATAGTGGATGGATGGATGACGGGTTTCGCACCTACATGAATCCGCCCTTACGGGTTTCATCCCAGTTATAGTGATTGATTGATTGATTGATAGGTTTTACGTCCGCTTCACTACCGGATGTATCGGTTATCCAGCAGACGAAGAACAGAAAGGAAAAAGAGTAGAAGGGATAAAGTGTGGAGTAAAGAGTAGAAGAGGGGGATAGATTAGATAAAGAGCCGTCTATCCTATATATATTAACTGTCTAGTTTTTGTGAGACGACTCTTATGCCTAATAATGCCTTAACCTAACACTCATTGTGAAGCATCACCAATTCTGGACCGGAAGTGAGGTACTGTGCCGCCGTCAGCCCCATCAGCCCCGCCTAAGTTTAAGAATTTGGTTTATGTATAAAATTTGGAAGTCCTTCTAAATATCTTAATAAAGAGACCCTACCTTTAAAATTTGAATAAATTTTTCCTATCCTCTGAGTCGGCGTGTACGCGCCTGCTCTTTTTCGAAAAACCCAGAGGGATTTTTTCCGTGCGAAATTGGACAGTTCTCACACGGGCCACCATTTATAGTCCCATCCGACGGACTGGTTGTTAGTGATTAGTGTCATGCATGTGCTGAGTTGTTATTGTTTTTTTTGGTGTCCGTTCCTTGAATTCCTTTCTTCATCATTCTTCACTGATTATATACTTGACTGAACTTATACCAATGTCATCTTTCTTAGATACCTCGACTTGTCTTTCACTTAATTCTGCTCCTCGTTCCGACATTTCTAGTTTTTAGTGTATAGTGTGATTATTAGTATGGGAAAAGATGAAACACGTGGGGAGGGGAGGGGGGAGATTTAGTGCTAGGATTTGGATATAGAATGGATGGGAGTTGGGGGGGTGAGGGGGGTTGTAGGTTTGAAAGAGGTGCTGGGTGTTAGAAATGTGCTGATTGATGTATGGGTTTATTCAGATGTTAGTTGTATGGACCGGGTTAGTGTTGGGGACGATTTGTGGGAGGGGGATGGATAGGTAGTTGGAGGATACTTGGTTGTTGTTGTATTTACTTTTATGTGTATAAGATCATGTTGCCATATGTTTTATCTTATTATAGATTGTAATTGCTTGGATAGGGTGTTATATTACTCTTATTGGCTGTGTCAGATAAGCCGATATTGATTTTTAGTTCATTATTCGCTTATCCCGTTATTCCTACCTAACTAATAGGTCCATATAGCACTGTTGGCCTCCCTCCTTTACCCGCGCTAACCTTGTGGGGTTTTACGCCGAATGAGCGAGAGGACCTATTTTATGGGTCGTTTTATACAGTTTATAATGGTAATATATTTCTATCCTGTTTTATATCCACCGTTTAAGCTTTGTACAGTCTAGGAGCGGTAAACTGCTTCAGAATGTACATCGCTCCTCGGTGGTATATATATGTGTATTCATGTATATGTGTTCATGTATACATATATATATATTTGGTTATACTCGGTTAGCCATAGGATTGCTGTGGGGTGGCTGACTCGTCCCTTCTTTTACAAACAAACGGAACAACCCGCACGTGGCCAGAACACATACGTTGCAGCTTCCCAGTTATAGTCCCGCTCACCTGTATTTATACCCTCTGTAACCCACGTGATCGGATCCATCTGTATCTCCATCACGTTTTACGTGGATGTAATTGTAGCAAGACTCGTTCCGCCTGAATCTACTTTCGCTTTCCATTACACCAGTGCACTGCATATAACAAATGAAGAAGGGGAATCCCACCTGGATATTTAAATAGTGCAGTTGTCATTTCCGTTTGAGTATATTTATATAGCAACTACAGTCAACAGACTAGCGATTGTGTATGTACAGAAATAGGAAACGCTTATCGTCTGTGTTTGGGATGCAGGGACTGTACAACAGAAAATTCAAGTTGTCGTTCTGATACCGCTAACGGGACCAAACATGAACTGGTGTCTATACTACCGTGTGTGGAAAGTGAATTATTCAGCAGATAAATATTTACTCAGTATCGTGTTTATTTCTACACGTGTGAACAAAACAATGAAACGGCATCATCGTAGACGTTCTGAGGTGACTATAACACACTGCATACATATTGATAGACAAAACAATAACCCTGGAATAAACTTGTCTCAAACATCTCTTGATATTACCCATCACATCATGGACCGAACATAGTTGAGCAAATGCTGGTAAGTATTTAGATTCTTATATATATGTGATATATCTACATCAATAATATTGAAAGGAACCGAGGTTACCCTTGATTCCGAAACGGGTTATATCCGTATTCTGGTCGTAATTAAATATGTGTCATTATTTCTTGCTTTGAGAAGATATGAGCATACACATAACATAAATAAAGAAATGATGGCTTCTCAAAAATATGAAATCAATTATAATCAGATTGTTTCTCTTGTTATTTTACTTTTCAATTAAACTTTACAATTTCATAAATTGTGATTTTGACACAAAAATAGAAATCAAGGAAGGAATAGCAGGTTTCAATTAACCAATCCTTTGATGAAATAAATCGATCATCAGATTTTTTTCTAAGCGATTTTTTCGTAATCACTTTTTTTAAAATTTCGTCTGGTATATCTGTATCATTTTCGTCTAACTGACCTTTCACTAAATTCTGCTAAATTCATTTTGTTCATTTTATTTGTATTATAATTGATCCCGAGCCGGTTTCCATTGCACAATAAAAAGTCTCTTTCATCTACGAACTCTCCGTGTCAATCTAGGTCAAATATTTGTTCACAGTTGATATCAATTTCAACTAAACATTTTGGTCACCTACCCACCACCGACCACTTCACCCATAACTCAACAACCGTTCATAATACACCATTCATGCGTTATATCATTTGCAGAAATTTAGAAGACTAATCTTTTCTTATAACATGTTATTAGAAAAAAATGTCAAGTTAAAATCCTCCTTGTCGGGTCAAATGTCGGGGTTCGCCATCCAGATGCATGTTATGTCTTTAATTTTTTGGAACATTTACCGTTAACATCCTACGCCATTTTGATTTTTTTTAATCTTTTTCAATATGTCAGAAGCCTACTTTTTTCCAATGTCCTTGATGGTAATTTTATTTAAATACAGTGTTAAGGTGCTCCTAGATGTCCTTCCTAATTTGGTAACGTTTTTGACTTTAAAAAAACCCAACGTTTTTACCTTTACTACAATAACTCATTAAAGGCTAAAGCTTTTTCGTTCCTTTTAAAAACGTTTTGTAGACCAACTTTTTTTTTCTCATGTAACATCTATGTGTCAAAGGTCAACTTTCTGTTTTCGATAAAGATCAAAGTTCAAATACACTTTAATGGATTATGAATTTAAAACAAGTTCTTAAGTCCTACGAGGTCTAGAGTCTTGAAATTTGATATGTAAGATGCTGAGATATTTAGCTTTCATGTTTGAAGAAATGGTTGACCTTGATGTAATATCAAGTAGATGAGAGGCGTGCTCAATGATAGTTGAAGGTTGGTGAATAGGGCTATTTAGTTCTAATATATTAACTTTGCATAACGTATAAGTCATCAAAATCAAACGTTTCATCAAAAAGATTCGAGAAAATGATAAGACTGTATATGTTTATTGGAACAGAATAGGACTACATTTCACCTTGCATAACTCGGCCATCTTATGTTATATAATTATGTGCGTTTCAGATAGATTGGATTAAAGATTAGTTTTAAAGTTATAGCTTCTGTATTCCCGTTAGTTTCGGTATTTCGGTGAATGCTGATTTTGTTTTTCAAATTTGCTATAATTAGAATCATTTTTATATTTTTTCTCTGTGAATTATTAAATAATTTTCTCTATGAATGATTAAATATCAGTAAGTGATGAACTATATATATATATCGTACTATAAAAGAAACACTTTGCCATTGTATATTTACGGGATCTGTGATACAAAACTTAATCTGTTAAAATATAAGTTAAGAAGTGTTTGGAAAAATGAAAGCCCTCCTTCAGTGAGGACATTTTATTGTTCGGGTCTGAACCGAAGGACCCTTAGTCTCCAATTCTATTCTATGCTGAGGGAAAAACACAACTTTATATAATGGTGACCAAGAGATCATTAAATATCAGAGATTAGCGAAAGCTTCGCGCTTTTTAGGCTTTGCCTTTTCATAGATATAGCTTTGTGATGAACAAGTACTGCAAGTGAAACTACCATTCATCCACCCCGTGCTATTCAATCATTACTTGAAATAGGGATAAGGAAGTTGGAAATTCCACCCAACATGGATATTTAAAAAATTAGTTTTCATTTCCGTATGTACCGTATGAGTACATTTATAAAACAACTACTATCAAAAGAATAGCCATATGAGAGCACAAATGTAGCGACGTTTGGTACGTGAATCGCCTTTTTATATCATACAGCGCTAAAAAGTCAGAACAATTCAGGCTCTTATTCGGTACAGCCAGCGTGATCAAAAAGACATGAGTGACTAAATGAAGCATTTCGTGTGAGGAATGATAAATGATAAACATAACACAGAAAAATATTTATTCGATATATTCTAATAATTTGAAAAGATCAATAGTGAAGGTGAATTTTATTAACACATACATAATAAGTTCTGACAATATGTACAGCGATGGGAAGAACAGTAAACTGCTACACAACCTGGATTACACATCTGGTATTAAAAACTCTCTTTATATTCTCAATCAAATCATGGACTGATCCTTAGTTGAGTAAATTCTGGTAAGTGATTTTAAATTGATGTTGCTAAGTAAAATGTATTGCTGTATGTTTCAAAATAAAACGTAAAAAGAAGCTTTGGGGGTGTCTGCTGATTATGACGGGGATGAATAGTTTTAGGTTTATTCAGATAAAAATAAATATTCTCAATCTAAACTGTTTCATTATTTGATGTCCTATTTGCAATGTCCTATTTGCAATATGAGGTTAAGATATCTTAAATCATACTTAAACAGACGATTGTACTTACAGTTGATTCTTTGATATCACCCAAACTTTCCTTTTTTCAGCCCGGATTTTCTTCTCGTGCATGTAGAGCAAAATATGATTGACTTGTAAAGCATTACGTTCCAGTATATGCCTACACTTCAAATACTGATGTATAACAACCCTATGTATTGTACTATAAATAAAAAGTAATAAAAGTGCGGCAAGATACATAAACAATGTAGTTGTCATTTCTTTTTGGGTTGAAGTATAAAGAATCACCCGTCTCTGGTATAATCACTGAAGACCCGGTGTTTAACAGGGATAGGTACATTTAACTTTTGTTCATGTTATACAGGTGCTTACAGTTTATTTAAGCTATTTTGATCAAATCAACTTGTATGAGAAAAATGATCCATGTGATAGGTCCTTATCTAGAAATCTGCTACAGGGTTAAACATGGTGTTCTGCAAGATCACATATTCCTCATCAAATCATGGACTAATTCCAAGTTGAGCAATATGTTAGTTGTAAATACTTGTAAAACGGGGGGTAAGGGGTATACCCAATATTTAAAATAACAAACTGACTCAGGTGACATTATAACGTCGTGTAGTTGAAATTGATTTAGTAAATAATGTTTAATAAGAGGCCCAATGGGCCTGAATCATATGACACCCGTGACCTTGAATGTCGAACAAGAATATTAGGTTGAACAGAATTTATAGTCTTCCAACCCAGCATGCTTCTAGCAAAATATTATTACCCTGGACTTTTTGGTTATACAGAACAAATCATTTAAAGATTTAAACATATATTGACCAAAGTGACCGTGAATATGGGCGAAGATTATTCATTTGAACAAACTTGGTAACCCTTCATCCCAGCATGTTTATGGCCAAATGTCATCACCCTAGGCCTCTTGGTTATTCAGAAGAAGTTGTTTAAATGTTTTCAACATATTTGACCCCAGTTACCTTGAATATGATTCAATATCATTCATTTGAACAAACTTGGTAGCCCTTCATTCCAGCATGTTACTGGCCAAATATCATTATCCTAGGCCTCATGGTTATTCAGAAGAAGTTGTTTAAAGGTTTTATACATATTTGACCCCAGTGACCTTGAAAATAAGTCAAGGTAATTCATTTGAACAAACTTGGTAACCCTTCATCCAAGCATGTTAATGGCCAAATGTCATCACCCTAGGCCTTTTGGTTAATCAGAAGGAGTTGTTTAAATGATTACAACATATCTGACCCCAGTGACCTTGATCATATTTACTACTTAGCAGACTTAACAGGACATTCCAAGCGAGATGTATCTGGAAGTAAAGGATATTGTTGCTGGATACCCCTGACAATCTCAGTATTATTATGTATTTTCTTCTTCTCCTTTTATTACTCTATTCAAAAGTAAGTGAGTAAGAGTGTGGAAGCATGAACACAGGACCACTTCGTCTCAAATTATATTTTATGTTGAGAAAAAAATACAACTTAGCAATTCGATGACCAAGAGATGCATTCCATGTGCCATATTTTGTCGAAATACCCCCAATCATGCTAAAAGAGATCCCAATTGTTTTCTTTTGTGCTAGGCCCTATGTCACATGTCACAACGGCTAACCAAAATCCTTCATTTATTCAGATAAAAATATATTTACCGTGGGTCTAATCAGGTAAAAACAGTACTATTTCTGTTTTCTGTCCTCGCCCATCTACCACGGAATGATGGGGTTTTTTTTGGTTTTTTTAAACGCCATATTTATCTATTTCATTATTTAGAACTTGTTTTCATGATTTCCGCTACACGTTTTGATTTTTGTAGCAGGGTCGTATTGGCTATTAGATTCAGTACTTAAGCAATTGTGAGTCACGTGACCGTAACGAGTGACTTTATTAACGCCACCAATGTCAATCACGTCCTATTATTTAATTTTAAGATAAAAGTTGCTTGATTTTGATGGACACATTGGGTACCTTTTGAAATTGACAAAAATGCCGTATATTCTTCTGATAGGGTGTAATTGTGCATACGTGAACAATGAACATAAAGTAACCTAATTGATCATAATAATTTCGAGTGATGTTCTTTAACAATTTCCGTGCACTGTAATAATTTTTTATTTGCATTATTTCATCAAGATAAACATTATGAAACAAACACTAGCCATAATATACCAGTACAGGCAACCCTTGTGCTTTGTAACATCGAGATATTACTAGAATATAACATTTGCAATTTATTTTGTATGAATACGAAGAAATGGGGTTGGGGGAACAACTACATTACTACATCAACTTAAACTAATGAAACACACTCAAACCTTGAAAACACAAAACGCTTTCTAATATCATTGCAGATAATCTTCGTACTCTGTAAACAATGGAACAATGGAATGTATTAAATTTAATTACATAAAGTTTCTTTTGTATAAAAACACTAATGCTATAATCTGTGGGGCTCAACAATAAACAGCATGCATGGTAAGCTTGCTAAGCAAAAGTAATTTTTATAAAGTTCTTTAACTAAGATATGAACAATATAGATCACATAAAAGAACAAATCCCCCAATATATATTTACAGGATTTGTGACTTTTCACCGAGATGGCCGATCAGGCTGAGCAGGACGAGAAGTCTTGGATTCTACATCACATCATGAACAGTCTGATAGGGAGCCCGGAGATGGTTTCCGTCAGGAGGAAGCTGAGACTTCTGACTGAGCGAATAGACAATGGCAAGCCAGCTGGAACTAAACGGTTTTACACGGGAAGTGTGGCCGAAGGAATGAAGATGTCAGAGTCGGACTTCGATCTGATGTTTATTGACGATAATGTGATGGTTACGTGTCCTATTCAGGACCCTAGTATTCCACCAGACAGCACAGATAAAACCGTTTGTAAGATGATAAATGCTCACCGCCGACCTGGCTATGTGACCCTGCAAATAGTTAAACTTGATCGGAGATGCAATACACTAATCATAGACGCCATTGTTCCAGTTGGGAATAAACTTTTTATTTCAAGTGAAATGTGCAGGAAGAATATTGCTGATGCAGTTGGTTCCTCGACACACATGATGATGGAAACACATGGCCCCGCCGTTAATCTGAAGAATGCACAAAGCAAGTTTAGAGTTGATGTTGATTATGTGCTTTCCTTTCCGTGTACTAGATGGCCAAAAGAGGCCAATGAGTGGGTGAAACGGCCTCGCCTGCATGGATGGCCAGATAAAGTTTTGATAGATCAGATAGTACAAGACGGTTGTCATCTTGTCCCTGTAGGAGACAAGACGTCTGATGACACATTCCTACCGTGGCGCATTTCATTTGCAACTGCAGAACGGAAACTAATCCATTCCCTCACTCATACACAATTTCTAATATATGGACTTCTCAAGTATTTCCTCAAACATACACTATCAGACAGTTTAAAACAGATAATGGGGGATGAAGAAATCATATCATCGTATATCATTAAAACAGTTGTATTCCATGCAGTGGAAAACACACCATGTTCAGTATGGCAAGAGAAAAATACATTGTTCTGTTTCGCGTTTTGCTTAAAGATTCTGATCGCCTGGGTGAATGCAGGACATTGTCCAAATTACATTATAAATAGCAACAATATGTTCCATGGCAAAGTTCATGGTGAAAATCAGCAAAAACTTCTTTGTGTCCTCGTTGAGCTTCATAATATGAAATTAGAATGCCTATCCCAAGCAAAATATATAGAGCCGTCTATAGGAAAAATGATCGAGAATGAGAGAAATGGGGCACAGGAATATGTTCGATATACACCGACAAAGACGGAAATGGATTGTGACATGCAGATATTCGCTGCTACATTTGGAATAATCGCGGGATCCGATTCACTTCCTGTGTCACTGACACTCCTGTTTAAATCAAACCTAGACATTGATGTCATCATAGCTTACATCGCTACAGCACGTGGACTGACTTCCACGGGGATCGAAACTTTCAATAAACCCATACCTGCTAAAGGAAATAAAGAGAAGTACAAAAATCTTAGAAAATCCAAAATCCTTATGACACCACTTTCCTCGGTGTGTACAAGTCCAGGGCAACTGACGCTGGCAACATATCACTACCAGACTGGAAACTACACGAAAACGCTTGAGTTGTGTGGACAAATGATGTCTCCATTAAAAATATATTTTGGTGAATACTCAGGTTCGAAAAAGTACATGTGGTATGAGCATCGCTACTGTGGTCGTGGATACACCCTACTACACAAATGTCAGGAGGTGTGTGCATCCTCTATCAGGTTTTCACAAAAGACTATACAATTTTGGCCATCCCAGTTGCACCCAGAGTTGGCCAAAATAAATCCAAGGTGCGTATTTTCGATTCCTCCTCTTCCTTATGCTGTGTTCCTGACATTTCTGTGTTATCATGAGCTTGGCGACATCAGAAGACGTGACGCAGCATTGTGTCACCTTAGAGCCGTGAAGTATGACGAAGAACAGGGAGGTAGTCAGCACTGGATAGTACACAATCTCGTGGGGATATGTTATGAAATGGTTGGGGACACACGTAGGGCTATCAGAGAATACAGGGACTCTCTTGGTGGTCAGCAACCTTATCAATATCGTAACCCTGCAATGGAGAGGATAGAAAGGCTGGAACATTTAGAAGAAAGACAAACATAGGTGTTCATGAGAGCCTCTACCAGAACAACCTTAATAATAATATACAACATGTATATAGCGCCCTATATAATTTGTAAAATTACTCTAAAGCGCTTTACAGCATATGGATAATAGTAATGGTTATAATAATGGTTATAATTATGAAAACAAAAAACAAAGGCTTACAATCAGTTTTATACATTTAAACATTTATACATGTGCACATAATTGAACAAATAAAAGGGTGGTATTTACATGACGCCTTTGCAAAGATTCTAAAATGCAGACGTGAAGAGGCGAGTTTTTATGTCCCTCTTGAACTTTGCCAGGATATTTGACTTTCTAATAGCAGATGGTAAGCTATTCCACAAAGTAGCCGAAACCCTCCCAAAGCATCTGTTTCCGTAGGTCACAGTACGGGACACACAACAAAGATTCTGACACCGACCGGATTGATCGTGACGGCTGATAAAGGGTAACACGCTCCTGTAGGTACTGAGGAGCTGTTCCATTCAGTGCCTTGTATGTGTACACCAGAAGTTTGTACTGCGACCTGTATCGTACAGGTAACCAGTGCAACGAATAAAGCACAGGTGTGATGTGCTCTCTCTTTCGAGTACGAGTAACTAGCCGTGCTGCAGTGTTCTGGACCTTCATGCAAAGATCAATGGTAAATACTGTATAGCGCTTTAAATTCGCGGGGTCAATATTTCGCGGTTTCGTATTCAGTACATATTCGCCGGGGTTAAATTTCGCCGTGCATCCGAATCCCATGTGTCGTGCAAAGTATGTTGAGCGTCATTTAAGGGTTAAACCTCTAAAGCATTTTCAACATGTTGCGATAAGGTCCGTAAAAGTGGTTAACATTTTCGATAATTTCGCTGGTATTTAGGATTCGCGTATATTAGTCAAAGCGCGAACATAGCAAAATTAAAACTCCACGAAATATAACCGCTATACAGTATGTCACATTCCATCAGACTTAACAATGACAATACCGACAAAGCTAGGAGCATTGCTATAAATCGGTAGCCGTACTGGAACAACCCCGTGTAGATATACCAGGTTTAATGGTAATCAAGTCACATGACGTCAGACACTAAAAGATACTTGTTGATGTTCAATTAGCTGTATCTACGATAGATAGAACTGTTAATGATTCCATATACTTACTTTGACTGTAGTTATTATGTTTTGTTTACCTTCAAGTGTATTGGTGTGATGTTTTGTTGTGTATTGTGGTTTAGATGGCATGAACAGATTAAGCGAACACATGTATGTCAGCCATGACACTACACTGTATTTATTCTCACTTCCGGTTACATACATATTACGGATTGACAGTAACGGAACGATACTACAATTTGCGTCACTATTTTTCATACAACTTTTGATTGAATATAGAAATTGAAAAATACGTATTCTCCATGCAATAGTAACTCGGAACAGCAATTACCCACAATCCATTTGACAAACAGAGGAATTAGAAAAACATCATAAAATATTTTGAGCAACGTAATGTTATGTGTGCAGTTGATGACCTTTTAAGTCGTATTCAATTAAGAATATCGAATGAGGTAAATGTATGTATTATAAATACACCATATTATGCATCCATTACTCGTTATACTACTTTTATGTTTTTTGTCACTAAGTTTAATCATCAGAACCATTTATTATGTTGCTACGACGTTATACACTTTCAGTAATCAAGCATGTATCAATTACTCTTGATGAAAGACGAGTTAAATATCTAGCAAAACACAATGTCGATGATGCATGCCTGTTACGTTCATCTTAAGGCAATTTTAAGTAAATTAGCAAGGTAGGTCAAGTTTATGACATGCCTTGCTTAATTATTAACTATGATTTTTTTGTATGATTCATCTACAATAAAATCTAAGTTGAACAGTATTTTGTTCGGTCATGTTAACCTTTCAGGGGACCATTTACATTTGTCATAGTGACAATTTTAACACACTCATCGACTGCGCTTTTAAGGTCGCAACGAGAAAATAGTTTTGATTGAATGAATGGTTGAGAAGGAAGGTCTCTGTGAAGGACTGAATTGTGTATCCAGAAAAAAATTGCATAGCAATTTTCATATTCGTACACTGTACTGAATAGGAAATTTGACGCTTGCAACCATATGTTCATATTTTGTTTGTAAATATAATATTCTATTCATTTAAAGGAAAATATTTATGAGCGTGTGCAGAGTTGGTCATTCTAACACCAACAATGGAGCCAAATAAAGGATATTTATAGACAGACTTTACATGATAACATGTTCTTCTGGTTATATACTAGTAGTCGTATTCTTAACCTTCCTTTTCCTTCTCCTCTTCTGGGTCTTTAGTCCGTATCCTTAACCTTCCTTTTCCCTCCTTTTTTTCTAGTTCTATAGTCCGTATTCTTAATCCTCCTTTTCCCTCTTCTTTTCTGGGTCTTTAGTCCGTATTCTTAACCTTCCCTTTCCCTCCGCTTTTCTAGTTCTATAGTCCGTATTCTTAATCCTACTTTTCCCTCTTCTTTTCTGGGTCTTTAGTCCGTATTCTTAACCTTCCCTTTCCCTCCGCTTTTCTAGTTCTATAGTCCGTATTCTTAATCCTCCTTTTCCCTCTTCTTTTCTGGGTCTTTAGTCCGTATTCTTAACCTTCCCTTTCCCTCCGCTTTTCTAGTTCTATAGTCCGTATTCTTAATCCTCCTTTTCCCTCTTCTTTTCTGGTTCTTTAGTCCGTATTCTTAACCTTCCTCTTCCTTCTCGTCTTCAGGTTATATAGTCCATATAATCGACATCTATCAATGTAACTATTTCAGATTATTGGCTTATTGCCATGTTGAAGGTATATGAATTGGCTAATTCTGTTAAATTGTTTTATGTTTCATGTATTATGTTTACAGGAAGAGTATACACCTTTTCATTTTTTAAGTTGTTCTTTAATTTTTTAAAGCTCTCCTTCATACTGTTCGTCTATAAGTATCTTTGATATCAAATACAGTATATTTTCTACCTTTTGCTCATGCCGTTGTTTTTAAACGAAAAACGTTAATATTAAGTAAAATGTCGCTGCATTATATCGTTCGCCTTTATCGACAATCCTTTTATCACAATGGCATGACTTCCCATATGTTAACTAATTTAAACACTCCTGTCCATATAACAATTTCACTGGACTTAATTAGTCTACCTGATACTCCGACAGTAATCAAAATACAAAAATATGATAAACTTTATCTTACTGTATATTACATAATTTCCATTTCCATCAATTACTGCATATTATTTGAATATAATGTATTGTAGTATGGAGAAAGATTTTATCAATAAAAAAATTGATATGTACATCATTCTTACTCGTACAGTTTTTTTTTGTTTTTTATTACAATTTATATTTAAATACGGAACATTGAATAATATGCATTATCCATAGTCCAGGGAAACATGGCCTGTAATGGAAGTTGCTCAAATCTAGCATGAAATACAAAAGAAACAGGTAACATCAGACAATAGTTTTAATACGTTTTATGTTTTTGTGTGTAGTTTATGACCTTTTGTGTCAAATGCTAGCAAGACCTTGTCCCTAGGGTTGTGGCCAGACCCCTGGATCAATTATAATATCGTGACTGCATCCATCTTTTTATACCAAGCAATTGTATATCTAGTTTTGGGGTGGATATCTTAACTGTTTCGAATGTATGACCAAGGGGTTAAGTCTCCAAGGGTGGGGCAGACGTCTCCAAAGGTGGGGCAGACCCCAGGGCCATCCTGGAAGCATATGTGCATTCGTCTCTTTATACTCAGCAATTTTATATATGTTAATAGGAAAGGGGAGCTCAACTGTTTCCAAGCTGAAACTCAGAAACTAGGTCCCTAGGGGTTTGGCCAGACCCCAGGGTCATCTCTAATATCATGACTACATTCGTTTCTTAATGCCCAGCATTTGTACATATAGCGTTGGGGTGGGGATCTCAGCCGTTTCAAAGTTATGACACAGGGACAATGTCTCCAAGAGTGGGGATAGACCCCAGGGCCATCCTGAAAGTATATGTGTATTCATCTCTTTATACTCAGCAATTGTATATATGGTTATAGGGTGGGGATCTCAACCATTTCCAAGTAATAAACTATGTTTGGCCCCTCCCCTAATCCCGGTGGATGTGACATTATCTGTTTGTATTTGACTTTGATTTACAAATGCCGCCGATATAGCGGAAGACGTTTACCCTCTTGCAACATTTGCTCTTATTCTCATCATGTTTTTTTAAAGGTCGCCCTGGAACATTTTCCTTTCATATCTTGCCCTAGTTTTATTAACTTTGAAATGGTATTACGGTTTTGTTAAGCATCGATCTTCATATCACTCAAAGAAATATTTCCAAATGAGATCATGATTATGACCAAAAAATATGTAGAGTCTTCTGTAAATTGCATTTCTGTAAAACCTTGTGGAGCAAGTTTGTCCATCAACAGTCGACATCTATCACGGAAATCATGATATTCGGAGCCGTACTCAATAACGCGTTAACTGCGCCATATAAGAACCGTAGTAGGAGGAAGCAGAGATGTTACTATCAAGAAAGAGCAAGCTCACGGTCGATGTCGATCGTCAAGCTTATCGTACCAGTTGTTACTTTGTCGTCTATATTGGTCATGATGCACGTAAAACTAATGATGATAGAATGTTCGTAATTGCTTCTGATTAATTACAACTCCTAGGTCAGGGTCGCTGCTTTATTTATACCATGTTGTAGTCTGTTTTTCTCTCTTTGACATACATTCTAAATTATTTTTATTGGACTCGGCATCAAAAACTTATTAGAATTGAAGTTTATTTTTCACTAGAAACAGAAAAGATATTCCCTTTTGATTTTTTTTTATGTCAATTGGAAATTCAAAGCAAATTTTGAAACATCATCAATATTTAGTGCAATAAAATTGTGTTATATAATAGTCCCTATCCTGCTTGAATGATATTTTTCTAAAAATGTTATTAACAGAAATGTCATTAAAACTGTGGATTCAGCCAATTCCCTGAAACGCTTACGTGTTAGAAACATATCACACTAATTCAAATAACAAAATCCCTTATTAGGACTTTAAGACATGTACGACAAACAA